CAGAGGGGCCAGGCCAGCACACAGCCCCAGCCGGGGACCCTCCCTCCCATCCTCAGTGCTCTGCAGCAGGTCACCTTGTCAGCAGCAGAAGCTGATAAGCACCAAGAGCAACAAACAGGGGCCTAGCCCAAGGTCCTGGACCTTATCTCGAAAGCAGGAGGCACACAGGGAACCTGACCAGTGTGACCAAGCACAGGAGACACATTCTGCAGCAACGCTCCAGCTGCTGGCTTCTCCATGCCCAGGGCTGGCAATGCCCAGAGCTGGTGACAGGAGTCTGACCCCCTGGATCAGTCTACCCCTCTCTCCTCAGGGCTGGGTGACCAAGACAGACACTGGTGTGCTGAGAATGGAATGAGAGCCAAGCAGCACTACTGCTGCGGAGAGATGGCCCTGGAAAAAAGGTGCAACAACAAAATCCAGGAGCATCGCCTGCTCTGTCTGCAGTGAAAGAGCTTCAAAGCAGAAGAAAAACAAAAAGCCTGAGGAACAGACATCATTAATCTCTTGACATCAGCAGAAGGGTGCTCTCTGCCTGGATCCTGCTGTGGCCGGCGAGCCAGCGCAGCGCCCGAGGCACGAGCGAGAGGAGGTCACTGCATCGCTGCCGAACCCGTGCTGACACCATCCCCTTCATGGCTGTCAGCCTCTTCTGCAGCTGCAGCTGGGGACTTGGAAGCTGACAAAACCCTTCCTAGGAAGCATCTGGTACATCTCACTGTAAATATTTAACAACAAAAAGACAGAATTGAGAGCCAAGCGCCTGCAGAGACCCTCCAGCTCCAAGCATTCACACTGTCTAGGAGGAGACTGTGCAGCTCCCAGTGTGCCAGTAGAGGGGAAGACGGGTTGTACAAGGCAAAAGTGTGAACTCTGCACTAAATATGCCTCTGGAAAACCTGTCATCTCAAAGAACAGAATGGGTTTCCAGAAAGGAGACTGTGATGTAATTCAAACAGCATCATTCTGAGTTCTTCCCCCTGTGATTCCTGGACCTTCCTGGCTACTTTGGCAGAGGCGTCCCTGCAAGACCAGAGTGTCCCCTGAGCAGCGGCCACTTGCTAAGTGACCACTTAACCTCGCCCTCAGCCTGCACAGCTGCAAACCTGCCTCCCTGACTGCACGGAACAAGAAGAGACTGAACAGCAGCTCAGCTTGTGAGGTCAAGGAACACAAAGCCAGCACCGCACAGAAATCCAGCTCCCCTCTCCTGGGGCAGGTGAAAGTAATAGTGATTTGGTGGTAGGAGCAGGTGCAGCAAACTTCCCCAGGAATTTAGGGAAGTCATAGCTACACTATCTCTGTAAATGTGCTGAAGTAATATTACAGTCTCATAACCACCTGGATTAAACTGAGCACAGGTATTGGGGCTTCCTCCTGTTGGTGAATCCAGAGCATTAAAATCATGACAAGGCACTCAAATATCCCCGTGATCTCTGAGAGCAAGCAGAAGGGCAGCTTTTTGTGCTACTTCAGGATTACTGCACCTCAGCTGAGCTGATTTCAAGGCATCCTTTTACCCATAGAAGATGCACCATCCTCACTTTTGACTCCCACATGAAGCAAGATGCAGAGACATTCCAGGTTTTTCTAAATAACTGATATAGCAACTCTGAACTTCCTGGGTTCACAATCACATGAATTCTGCTGCATAAACCACTCTCTCTAATAAAGCTAATTCCTGTGCTACAGGTGCCTGCCTCCCATGTCAATACATAGCATAAAAGAGTACAACACCCTAATCAGACTAAGTCTTCCCAAAGGAATCAGGAATAACCAATTACAGAAGAGTGCAACATAGCAGTTTCCTAATTTAAAAATCCATCTCCCCTCCTTTTATTTCTGAAGGATTAAAAACCACTTCCTTGCAGTGGTAGTATCACCCTCATCTCTTTATGGAAAACTTCACAGTGTTTAATTCAAAGAGGCATTTATGAACTCAAGAAAGCTATCTCAGACACTGCTGACAGTTGTGCAAAATGATCAGGTCAGGGTGCAACAGATGAAAAAAAAGTCATCAGGAGTGGTGAAACCAAGACAAAGCATCACTTGCTGCTCTGTTGAACACCAGCGCATCCACAACTGCACCCTGCAGTCAGCTCTGGTCTCTGGAATTCAACAAGGGCACAACACTGTTACAGCTGCTCAAAGAAAGCAATTAAACCACCCAGAGGCAGCTCCTTGAGAGGTGAGACTAAAAAGGCTGGCTTCCTCCACCACGGAGATGAGGAGGGCTGGCTGCAGCATGTAGGAGGCCAGGAGGGCACAGGCACAGCACACTAAGCTAGCAGGAGAGCCACTTGAAGTGGCAGAAGTATTCACTTCCAGAGCAGGCAGCGAATTGCACATAGCAGCAAGTCCTTGGAGCTGAGCAGCATCGGCTGCTTGGCAGAAGAGTCTGGTGTTCAGAGTAAAGTCACCCACAGACATCCAGCTGCAAATGTGCCCTCCCAGTCCTCCACTGCAGCAGTGGGAATGTGAGAGTGTGTCCCTCAGCTCACCAAGCCCAACTCTGCATCTCTCAGGGGTGTTGAAGTCTCAGCTTTCCACCTGAACTCCAGATCACATGGTTTGAAATGGCTCCTTCTGAAAAGCACCCTACAGCTGCCAACTCCTGGATGTGGGATGTGGGAGAGGAGGGGACTGAGGCCCTGCTGTGCCAGACAGAAGGAAAGTGAGGCCTCTCTTCAATAGCTGCCTTATTTGCAAACACTGTTAGGTAACTGGGATGCAAACACTGCTGTGCCTCCACCTCCACGGCGCTCCCACGTGATACAGGGATGATCCAGCTGAGGATCCAGGCTGAGGGCAGGCCGCCGCTGGCATCCCTGTGCTAACAAGCAGGAACACGCTCTGGGGCACACTATAGCTACTGTGCCTACAAAATGGCTGAATTTTGGCTCAGGCACCCCTCACCTATGCAATTCCCAACCCTGATACTGCAACTCAGCATCTTCCATCACTCTGCTACCCATCTCCTTGAGAGAGGACAAGCAGACTTCTCATCTAGAGAGGAAACCAGCCATGCAGACACAGCTGACTTCAGAAGATTAAGCTTAGAAAACAGACCCCTGATTACATGTGTGGGAGTTCCGGTGACCAGAGTAAATTAACTCGTTCAATAACCTCAGCAGTGAAAAGGAGGTGAGGGAGTCAAACCCAAGCCTCAGGAACAGCTCTGGTGGTAGGAGCAGTGCCACTCTGCCTTTGTCTGCTGCCTTCACACTTCACTGTGTTTGGAGATACCATGGCTTCCAGATAAGCTTCGTGCATGGGAAGAAAAAGCATGGCACCAACTTTAAGGCTTTTCTGGAGAAAGGTATGAGAAAGACTGTACAGTGTCCTGCACAGCTACCATTGAGAGGAATCCTGTTTCAGCTTTAACTTATCTTCTAAAAACCAGACAGAATCATAAAAAAAGCCCCAAGTTCTGTAGGTAATGTTTTCTACAACACTGCTGACATGTAACAAACACTTTCTGAAGCGCTATCATCTGCTGCAGACACACACTCATGCCCCACCCTGGAGGCAGCTGTGCAAGGTCCCCAACCAGCTGGAGAACAGAGGATGGAGTAGTGCCAAGCAAAGGACGTGTCTGAGTTCACAGCACAGGCAGACAAAACCCAATACTCAAAGAAGACAGATCTTCAGCAAGGTGGAGAAAAGCCTCCTACAAACTCAACAGATGGAATGTATCTTTGCTCTTCAAAACCCTAGTATTTCACTCTTACATGTTAAGATAGCAAGAAAATCATGAGGGACTTACAAATATGGAATCAAAGCCTTAATCCAGTGCATCTAGTTCTACACCACGGCTTTGGTAGCTGGCTAGAGCTCTGGAAATGCATCCACAACTTCCATCCCTCTGTTCAGTTCAGCAGCCTGAATTACTTCAATGTTACACCAGACCACTCTAAACCAGCGAGTTATTTTCCCTGAAATCAACTTTAAGACACCAGAGCTGATTTCCATACTTCCAATGCCTCCACCATCAACAGTGATTTATCCTCACACCGTCCATGAACTGGTGAAATGGGATCCCATGCAAAGCCAAAGATGGACATCAGAGGTGGACATGGTGACATGCCTGGGGTGACACAAGCCCCAGTCAGGCACTGACTTCCATTCCCAGTGCCTTTGCTATGGCACATCCTCACATGGCAATACAGCTTTGAAACATCAGGCTCCCACTGACTGATCACTGCTTAAAGCACAAAAGTTTCCTTCAGTCTTGGCACTTCCACAACATCAGCCTGGATGAAGAGCTTCTGGCAATTTGGGAAAGGCAGGAATTGAGATTATCAATATTTGCTTCTGAAAACTACATTACTTTCCTGATTTGAAACCTCCATCCAGAGCAACCTCACTATCCCAGCAAGGCTGCACACACTACTGGGGGCAGGAAGTTTTTTCTTTGCACTGATGGCAACAGAGTGAGCAATTTGGTTATCCTTAACAGCAATACTCAACAGCAACACACAGACTACAAGCCATGGGGGAGGTCTGTGTCTTCCCAAAGTACTGCAAATTCAAATATATATCCTCAGGTTCACAGGTAACATATAAACAACAACAATCTGAGTTACATTTGCATCTTGACACATCAGTGTTTTCAATTATGTGTGATGAGCAAGACCTACAAGTTGCCAAACTCCTTCACCCTGGACATCCAAATTTGCTATGCTACAGTGGATGGGAGGAAAGAACCTTCCAGCTGTTTAGTCATCACTACATGAAAGCATAAAAGATGTCACTGCTATACCGGGATGACCAAATATTAGAGGTTTGTTTAGGAAATTCTTTTGCTTTGGTTTTCGGGTGGGGCTTTTTTGGGGTTTTGTTTGGTTTTTTTTTTACATTAATGTCCATTGCATATTCCAGACTGTATATTGCATGTACCAGTCTTCTACATCTGGTTAGCGCTGACTCTGAAGGAAGAGAAATGCAGAGAAGGAAAGGGAGAAGGAAGTTTGAAGAGCTCCATTTTTTTTAATACATACCAGACTGGCCATCAGTTGGAAATATATCTGTAAAAGAAAAAAAAAAAAATTATTATTTGTTGCAGCTGGAGTGCAAATCATATTTAAAAGGTCTCCTCTCTCAATTTGTTTGCTTTAGCTAAACAGAGGAAGTATTTTCTTAGAATCTCAAGTTAAACATCAATCCAGCTTGGAACCCACCTCAATTCAACCACTTGTTGTGAGAAAGATTTTGAAGGAGTCTATGTTTACCTGAATGTGCTGCTCTTAAATAAACTTCTGTATTGGTTTCTAGCAGACAGCAGTGAGCAATAAAAAAGGTTGTTGAGATGTACAAAGACCCACACAATGAGCTACTTGGGGGCAGCACACATTCCCCCTGAGCAGCAACATCAGACAGAAATCTACAGAGAACATCTAACAGGGAGCACAGGTGGAAGCCAAGGCAAAAGCCAAGTGAACAGTTCTTCTGATTGTCCTTGGTTTTGCAGCCACGAGGGACATCAGCAGCTGTGCCTGGTTCTAACATAGCACCTACACCAGACACACACCCCCATCACCAAATGGACGCCCAGGGCCCTGGCACATCACCCATCACACCAGGAGAACCCCTTCCCTTTCCCAGCTCAGGAGTCTCTGTCAGCAGGCACAGGCCACTGCACAGGAGGGTTCAGACCCCAAAACAGATTATTCAACCTCCCCAGTTCCCCAGGCTCTTTCCACTTAGAGGTACAGGAGGGCCTTCTCTTGGAGGGTCTTATGTATTTCTGAGATGTTTATTTAAGTAGCTGGAAGGACCAGACCTAATTTAAGGAGCACATAGGACAGTGTGTGTGGAAAACCCCTGTTGATAAGGCTTCCCCGGAAGATATGAAAACAGTACTTTTGAGAGAGCAATACAGTATGTTTTCTTCAAGGATCCTGGAAGAGGAGGGGGAAGGAAGGCTGCCAGCAAGGCAAGGTCCTCATGGGACAGGGGCAGGCCCCTGACTTCTGCTTATCAGCTACCCAAAACACACAATCAGCTGGAAAGTCACAAGAGTTTCAGCAAGGACTACCCCTCAAGCAGGGCAATGCTCTCTGGCCTGGGCTCGGTTCATGCAGAAACAGCAAAAACACTCCTCTGTCACAATAACTTATATTTCTCTTCCTTTTACTTGCACCCGTTCAAAGCATTCTCAGGCAGGGATGCTTTCATCCCACATAGGAACGGGAAGAGCCAAGTGGAGCAAAAACACCCAGAAGTTAAATCAAGACTCTCTCTAGCATCATTACACAGTTATGGTCTGTGGCCATTTGAAGGCATGATATCAAGGACAGCCCAGCACATCCAGAACAATTGCAATCCTTTGCAAGCTGCATGTTCTACTGCAATCCTCCACCAGTCCACGTCCCTAATGCATTTAAATATTTTGTATTTCTGTATGGTCACTGAGGAGTTCAGGCTTCTACATCAGCAAGCTGAAACACCCTGTACTTCACAGAATCATAAAATTGTTAGGGTTTGAAAAGACCTTTTAAGATCTCAAGATATAATTTATTTCCCTACTTGGGCTTCTCTGCAAAGGAGCAAGGTGGTAACACTAGTATCCCACCTGTTTGAATCAGCTGTACCAGATGCTACCAAAAACCAAAATAAACAACAGTACCACAATGGTTGATAAAATAAATTCCTTTGTGCCAGTCAGGAATTTAGCAAAGCCAGGCTTTGGCAAATGCTCCCCTTGCTGTACCCTGAGGGGTGCAGTTCTCCAGTCTGCATTCTGCTAGGCTGTCCCACCAACTCTTCATCAGAAACACCACAGCAGAACCAGCTCTAGACACCACAAATGCCACCAAATCAGGCACAGCTGCAGGTGACCCCTCAGCAACATCTCCTATCAGACATGTCACCACCACAACTCCAGACTCACATTCCCTCAAGGTCTCCTCTCAGTTCACTGCTGTATTCCCCACTGCCCTGTCCTGCCCTAGATGTGCAGCAAGGCTCTCCTGGCTCCTCCTGAGCTCAGCCATGACTCTAGAGCAGCTTTGTCACTACATTTACTGGAGAAGCAGTGACTCTACTCAGTGGCTGAGGTCAGTAGAAAGCAAGGATCACGTGTGACAGCCAAAGACAGATACAGCTCACATTCACCTCATGAGGCTTGCCAGGGCAACTCCTGTCAAGGAAAGACACTTGCATCCAGTGCTCAGCCCCCTTGTCAGGGAGAGGCTGACTGTATCCAACTCATCACACCTGTGAGTAACACAGAGTTGACTCCAAGCTCTCCAAAGCACACTGAGAACATTGGGCTTGCAGGCAGCTTTCCCCAGAGCTGAGAACAAGCACAGAGCAGTCTGTAGGACTTGCTTTGAAAAATGGGGCTGCTAGGAGGACACATCTGAGGCAGGGCTGGTCAGGGACCAGCAGGCACAACGACCCTTTGGGACACCTTTTTCCCCTGCAAGCACAAGTGACTTAAATTAAAAATTAGCCTGCCAATTAAGGGCAGCACCTCAGGTGCCCAAGAGAAGTCTAAATCAGGCAGTGCTTTCTTTTCCCAAGAAAGCCATGGTAGGGAAGCAGGCAGAAAGGTATGTGGCCAGCAGGTAAACCCCCTGGGTTGCTCTCTGAGGAGCCCATCTCCTACACTGCAGGACTGAGGCTGCCTGTCCAGGTCAGCTCCCTTCCCAGCCCTCCCAAGGCTACAACTAAAATACAAAGAACATAGGCACAGGGACAGGTTTTTTGCTCAAAGTCCCAACATAGAAAGGTGAAGCCAGCAAACCAGCCCCGCCAATTCCTCTCCACACACACCTGCTACCTCCCAAGGCACCCTGATGTCAGGTATCCCAACACTGGCCAGATGCTGCAGGACAATGCTGCACAGCAGCTCTCCACCATCCTGTCAGCCACCAGTTCAGCAGCAGGCAATCCTTACATGGGACCCAGGCAGTCCTGCCTGCAAACACCCTCCCAGCCATGCCCAGCCTGCCCTCCAGGCAGCCCAGTGGGAAGGAACAAGAAACAACAGTATCTCAATGCAAATGAGCAGACCCTACAGTCTCACACTTCCTCCTCCTTCTTGCACACAGACACTTTTTTTTCTCAGCATGCACCCAAAATCAGAAAGAAGTGGTGTCTGAACAAAGGGACCTGCAGTCACCACGGGAACCAGTGATCTCTTCACTGCAGCACCAAGTACTTCCCAAGCCTGACCATTCTCCTCAGCCCTGTACAGAATCCATGCAGCCTACAACATCTCAACAGAAAAACACATTCTGTGAGTCTTCCTGTTATCAGCAAAGCAGGGTGGAGGATGGAGTGAGGAGGAGGCGATCAGGGGTCTGTATGGCAGCTGGCAGGATGCTGGGACAGGCACAGAGCATCCCTTTCAGGACCATCAAGTGAAGGTGCAGATGTGGTACAGGGGTGCTTGCTCTGAGCACCGATACCTGGAGCTGGTGCACACAGCCCAGGAGATATAACTAAATTGAGGGCAGTTGTCCTTATTTTAGGTGGTGCTGGGGGTGGATCTCAATTTTTGCCTGATGGTATTTTTACACAAAGGAGAAGACCGTATGCTAAAATGGGGCATTTAAAGAGAAAAGCTGATACATCCACACACATACCCCTTTCCCCAGGGGCTATCTGGCTACTTCTGCTATTCAGGTATCTGGGACAGGTCCAAAAAAGTCACCCCATTTATGAGCCCCCATCTCCCCTCCGCTGCTCTCTGAAGAAACATGCGACAACCACGCTCCTCTGCCAGCCGCGCTCAGAGTGCTGAATCCAAACACCCGCACAGGAAGCCTGTCTTGCCCCAGCTGGGAAGGGACCTCCACCACCCAGTGCCTGTCCCCAGTCCCCCTTTTCCAGTACGGAGCTGCTTCCTCCCTGCAGGCCCGTGAGGCAGCGGCTGAGGAGCAGCTCATTATCCCTGACGCAAGAGAAGCGCTGACTCGTTATTACAGCAACCTGCAGCCATAACTGCCGAGGGGCCGCGGCCGCAGGCCCGGTGCCAGCAGGAACCAGCTCCCCGCTGGCCCCCACCTCCCACCATTACCCTTCTGCTCTCCCAGCGGGGAAAAACGAGCTCAGAGTGCTCCATGCCACCTGCCAGACACCAAAGCACACTGACCACCGTGCACGCACAGGTACCAGCACAGCGATGACAGCCAGCTCTCGGCAGCTCCCAGTGGGAGATGGGGCTCATCCACACTGCCACAGGAAGACACCAGCTGATTTGTTCTGGCTTTCGACCCTTGAAGTTGTAACCAAATCATCCTCCACGTTTTGCAGACAAAAGACTGGGATGTCAGCAAAAAAAAAATGACCTCTCCAAGGTCACCGGGGGACTCGCAGCAGGGACATGACCAGAACTCATCACAATGGCTCGAAAGCTGCAGGGCTGCACTGCCCGCCCAGGAGAGGGACTGGGGAGGGAAGTGCTGCCGGATGGCAGGATCGATTGGTATCTCTCCTCCTAACCTGACCTGCTGCCCAGCAGGGACAATCCAGGCACGAAAAAGGTCCAAATTACATAGTCCAGCATATACTGCAAAGAGACCAGAGCTGCCCAAATCTCTTCTCTGGCCCTATGCAACATTTCAGTTCAAATCTCTGTCACCTGGCTCTGCCTCGGAGGCCAAGGCAGTGCCTGCACAGGTTCCCGAGACAGTTACAGGCCTCTTCAAAGCAACACCCAGCAGAAAAGGGGGTGAGGTCTGCTAGGGAAAAGCAGCAAAGCAAGAAACCCTAAACCCAAAGATTAGCATGGCCAATTGTATCCCTCCCAAGATCTTGTTTGCTTCCTGTTCCCCTCCTTTGTTACCTGCTGAGCAGGATCGGGGAGGGTCCACCTCTCAGTCACCCAGATCATTCCAGCCTTTTCCAGCTGCCAGGTCCACGCTAACACCTCCCATGCCTCTCAACTTACTGTAAGATATTTACCCCCTCAAGCAGAAGCTGAAGCATGAGACAGATGGGTCAAACCTACCATGATGCTGGCTAGGTCCCAAGACGGCACTAAGGACTGTGCAAGAGAAACAAAAAAAATGCTACT